TGGGATTTTTAGGGTGTACAGTTTTCTTTAAATCGGTACTTTGTCATCTTGCCCCGTTCGTCATCATGCCCCGATCTCCCCTAGTAAAAAATTGCTCTATCTCTATTACTATTTATTTTAGAAAAAAATTATTCAAGATAAAATATTCTAAATTCTCTACAAAAAACATATCTTTAGTTTTTTTCATAAAAGTTGGACAAACGGAGATATTTGAAAAAAAAACGAAAAAATCCAAGAGGTTTTTTTTCAAACTTCCTCAACTGGGACCGAATGGGACTTTTGAGGGGTTAAATAGGAGATCATTATCAACACATTCCCGTTGCGATCGGTTGGTTACTAAATTTTTCCACCTCAATCTCCAGATCGACTGGCCTAATGTAACTGAACAGAAAGAAACATAATTATATTTTACAGTAAAGTTAGTGTTTGTAGTAAAATTATGATTTCAAGTAAAGTTTTAAATGAATAAAATTTGCATAAGGCGTTATCCGAGCTATTATCTTTTATATTACCTACTAGTAAATCCTGTCGATGTACATTATCCGGCTATCGGAAATTATTACCTGCCATGTGACATCCACAAAAATATTTGTCTTTTAACATGGGCTTCCTCATCAATTCAACGCCACCTACCCAGAATCGAAGTATAGACCGGTTGATAAATATATGTAAATATTCTCTTTATGATAATTACGTGTTTTTTTAGTTAATGGAGTTTGAAATAATTTAAATCGTTATTAGTAAACATTAATTTTTATTTTGTTTTAAACACCTTTTAAACTAGAATATGTATAGTATGTAAATTGTTGTGCTGTCTGCACTACTACGTTATAGTACCTATGATTAGTGTCCTCGAAATGCATTTTTGTAATTTAAAACTGGTACATTCTGAATAGAATATTTAAGAGCGTTCGAATTTTTATATCTCTGGGTCCAATACATTCCCGAAAATTTTGAATATTTTTGAATACCAGGTTTATTTTTATTTTAGATATATTAATGTTGCTGGAAACATTCTAAAATATTCAAAAAAATTGACCGATTGCTGTTTTAATTCACCAAATATTTTACAAATTCATTTTCTTCCCCTTTTCTTGCATATACAGGGTGGCGCACCTCATTCGCCTCGGTTGATTATACGAAAACGGAAAGATGTAGAAACAAAATATTTTATGGGTATATGTGGGCAAACAATGTGCACAATTTAAAATTGTTTTGAAATATACAGAGTGTTTCAGAACAAAGATCCATACCAAAGTTATATTTTTTCTTATGGAACACCCGGTATTTTATTTCATTTTTGGATTCTTCGGCCCAAAAAAAGGTATTTATTATAAGGGTTAAATTTGTTTAAAATCTGTGGTTTTTCAGATATTTAAAGATATTTAAATTTGCATGCTACCATAGAATAGATTATTAACACCCTGTACATTACTTTTCAGAATTAGTTCTTGTGCTGAGTTTAAACGTAGAGAAATAAACTTTACAAAAAATTGTTATTCCTTCCTTAAATGTATACAGGGGTATCAAAAATTGCTGGTCTATTTTAAATATTTATTTTAACATAAAAACTTCGTTATTTCAAATGCAACACTATGTATTTTTTAAATAAGTCGAAGCAGATTTAAATGCTCTTTCAAACTATATTAGGGTTGCATATACCTATCTGGCTCAGATTTTGAATAAAAAACGATTTTTCAATAAAATTGTAATCAAGATGGCTAGTGTTGTCATGGCAAGTTTCTAGTGACAGTTAGTAGCTATTTTCAAAATCGAAATTAGTTTATGGACTTATTTTAGTTTATACCAGTTTACTTTTATTTAATTTACCTAGAATAGTTTAATAAATAATATTTATTAAATATGTGTATATGATTCTATCAAGAAAAACGAAGAAGTAGTTCTTTGAATTATTTTACGATGACTTGTAGATATATATGGATTTTCTATAAAATATCCAATTACGGCAAATTCATTGTATTCACTTCCAACGACAGGTTTCTGCCTAATAGGTTTTTTTATAAACCACACTACCAGCTCTGCGAAATAGGACAAGAAGTTTTTCCAAGAAACGCTTATCAGGAAGATTCCTATTTGGATGTCGTTGAGCATGAGCCCTTGAGGCCAAGAAGCAATTTTCCTCACAAAATAATATCACTAGTAACATATCTATTCGTTCCGCCAGCAGATACGACTTTATTTTTCTTAATAAAATCATGAATACTTACTTATTAAACTATTGTAGGCAAATTTAAGTAAACTGTTATAAATTATAAATCATAAACTAATGTCGACTTTGAAAATAGTTACTAACTGTCATTAGAAAATTGTCATGGCGACACCAGCCATCTTGATGGCAATTTTATTTAAAAATCGCTTTTTATTCAAAATCTAAGATAGATAGGTATAGGAAACCCTAATATAGTTTGAAAGGGCATTTGAATCTACTTCGATTTATTTAAAAAAATACAGGGTGTTGCATTTTTGAAATAACGAAGTTTTTATATAAAATTTATCCTTAAAATAGATCAGCAACTTTTGATAACCCTGTATAAATTTAAGGAACCAATACCATTTTTCAGTAGAGTTTATTTCTCTACCTTTAAACTCAGCATAAGAATTAATTCTGAAAAGTAATGTACAGGGTGTTAATAGTCTATTCTATTGTAGCATGCAAATTTAAATATCTTTAAATATCTCAAAAACCAAAGATTTTAAATATATTTAACCCTTATAATAAATGTCTTTTTTTGGGCCCAAGAATACAAAAATGAAATAAAATACCGAGTGTTCCATAAGAAAAAATATAACTTTGGTATGGATCTTTGTTCTGAAACACCCTGTATATTTCAAAACAATTTTAAATTGTGCACATTGTTTGCCCACATATACCTACCCATAAAATATTTTGTTTCTACATCTTTCCGTTTTCGTATAATCAACCGAGGCGAATGAGGTGCACCACCCTGTATAAATCATTTACCTAACATTTTCTTCTGTTCATAAGTAGTTATTTTAACATTAAATCCTCAGACAGCATCAAAGTAGTGGCGTCCGTTTTGACAAACTCGACACACAGGACACCATGAACGCGCATCTAATGTAACCACTAAAATAAAATAGTCGTGCGAGTAAATTCCGTCAGAGCTCGCACGTTTAAAACAACGCACGGACCCGCTTCCAATTTAAACGCGGGCTAACGCTAAAGAAATACAATCTGACATTGACAAAATTATAAGATGACAACTTAAGATACGTTGGCATTTGCCTGTTTTGTCATTCAGTTTTAATTTAAAAATAGAGGAAGTTTTTCGTAAATTACTTAAAATCGGCTTATCCGAAAATTTTCAAATTTGCCATGTGTATTCAGAATAGGCAGACCTTTAAAAAACTTATGTACGACTTCGCTGTAAAATTAAGAGGGAAGCTAAAATTGTTAAAAAAGGAGCCGTCGCGAAATAAAACTAATTCGTCGGATTCTCAACACAGACTAACTTTACTTTCAAAAACATCTTACAACTAAAAGACCATAAAAGAAACAATAAAAAACATATGGTCCAACTTTCCCTTAGAAGACAAGGGTTGAGGGTCACCCATAAATTCCATGCAACACAGTGGCGTGTACAATATTTTGGGCTACATTTCAACAAAAATCTCATCTCGTTCAAAATTTGACCCGGTATATAACATAGATAATAAGAATCACATTTTTCCTATGCATCTAAAAGTTTTAGACACAGTTAGATATTAATGTAATACGTTTATAGAAAATTTAATAATTTGATACTTCAGTGCTTCAGTGGATATTTGAAAACAAACAACACCTGCCATACGACGTCGATTACAGTATTCGTCTTTCTACTAAACAGCAGATGCTTCTTCATCAATTTTCCTCTACCCGCCCACCAATAGAGATGTTAATAAATAATAGCTCCTTATCAAATTCGCGATGTTCGCGCGTAAAATAATAATTGCCGGTTGCGATAAAACGGCCGATAACCAATAATTTATTTATACATAATTGAAACCTGAACTCATCCCGGAACAACGTTGGAATGTGTCTTCGGCATTGTATCATTTATTGCTTTATTGACAAAGCTTTTTTTAGATATTTCATACTGCAAGGATATATTGTTATAGGCGAGCATATTTTTTTATTTATTTAAACCAGTGATTTCCAAAGTGGTACAGGTTGATCATTAGCACAGAATTAATCCATGTTGACGGGACAATGATGGGTGACAGACATATCAGAGATATTCTTTATCTTCACGTAAAGCCGCGGCGAGCAGCTATTGGGGATACTTTTATGGTTGTTATAGACGATAACGCCAGACCTCATCGCACGAGAGCTGTAAATGAGTAGAATGTAGAATGACTGGAAAGGGGATTAATCACCGCGACATTAATGATCTTTTGTGTTCCCCTTTCTTGAGTTATAACTCATCACACAGTCTATAACTCATCATACATGGGAATCTTCCTGTTGTAGAGGAGACAGGATATTTCCCATTCTCCTCTGAGAACGACTGTTTTATTATCGAGGAGTAGACATCTATCTCCTACGCGGGTATATACCCTTCCACGGTTGGGGTTTAGCCCTCCGTGCCGTTCACAGTCAAAGAGCTTGTCTCCGGCTGAGGTACCCTTGTTCCGGATCTATAATAGAGGATATATCTCTCTTTCTTTATTGCCTCCTTGGATTTTAAGCCAATTCCTATTATATGTGATAACCTGACAATGGCCCTCCCCCCTCGAGTTGATGACTCGCCAACTCGATGTCCTTACATTGGGTTTCTGGCAAAGCTGGTGCTACACCGCAAGAGTTGGTCGGACCACTTCTACAAAGCCCCGCATGTAGAAGTAAAGGAGACGAGAATACAATGTGTACCTGATACCCTAAGGTTGAGACCAATAGTAGCTAGGGATTCTATCTAGGTTATATTCTCTTGGTCCGGGCGGATAAGCCAAGGCCCTCCAACACTCTCTGCCTGTGATAGATGACCACAGACAGTAGAGATGGTATGACGGACAGGGTAGTCACATCCGGCATCGTTATGAATGGCAAGGGAGAAGACATTGAGATGCTCTTTAGACCCACCCAAAGTACCAGAGAGAGAATTAACTCTAGCACCTGACTAGGAGCTTCCCCAGCAACGACAAGGTCTCGCATCTCCTAGAAGAAGTCTAAATAAGTATCCTGAAATAATATCTTATCTCCAGACATGAACGCCACAGGGACAAGCTTTATAGGGCAGTTGCAGCACGTAGAAATTTACCCAAAAGTCTACAAGGATTATTAACTATCAGTCTCTCTACATCCACAGCATGGGTAGGCATCTCCAAGCTTTGATTACTTCATCTAGTAAAAATACCCTTTACTCGTATTAGAGATTCAAAGTTTAATTTTTAATGAAAATTACCTTGAAAATTATTTTGCTTTACTTTTTATAAGAATATTCTTTTATGTTTGAAAGAAATTATTATTATTAAAATAAAGTAAAAAACAAACAAGTGAAGTATTTTAATAAAAATTATCAATTAATTAGTCTCTAGTTTAGTCTTATCGAAAGGGACTTTATTTTCGAAGATTCAGGGTGATTTAAATGTAGAATGTTTAGGATGGGGTTAATAACAGCGACCTTACAGATCTATTGTGTGTTCACCTTTCTTGAGTTATAATTTTACCTATAACTCATCATACAGTCTCAGGGCTTTGACAAAAGCCAGTATTTGGACGGCTCCACAGAGGCCAGCTCTCTATGTTCGTTATTAGCCGTCATTCAGGGAGATGCAAAACTTTTGAATTTATGTTTTTTTTACAGTTAGAGAAATTAAAGTTGTTTTTAATTTTACCATCAATAAATCGGTCAGTAGAAAAAGTTATTTTGTATGTCCCAAGGTTCAAATTATATTGTAAAAGTTGTAGACGATCAACGATAATTCGACTGATACGAATCTTTGTATTTTATTAACTATTATAAAACCTCCAAGACAAATACCACTTTAGTAAATCAGCAAGTACATCTTCTGTTACAAGAGCACACGACAAGCAGTTGTACTTAAACACGCCTTCGATATTTATAGTAAATGTTAAAACCGTAAGTAACCAATAAACTGTCAGTTGTAATTGAGTCTGCCTCTTCACGAACATCATTCTCCTGACTGTAAAAGGACTGGCCACAGGCAGTAAACTCATAATCGCGGCGATTTACATGAAATAACTTTCTGAAAACGAAATATATTTAAGTTCGCAGTATGCACAGTTTCAATCTAATCAGATCAAAAATAGTTATTTATTATGGTTGAATAAATAACAATTTTAATAATTTTTTAATATTCAATTAATATTAAAAAAAAATTATATTAATGATGAGTAAAGGCTCAGTCTGAGGTATAAGTTAGACAATAATTTTCATTTGTGGCAGTAAAAAATATTAAAAATAAATTCATATATTATGATATGCTAATTATTAGAAAATTTACTAATTATTAATAGTCTTAAGTCGTTGCCAGTTCAATCTCATCAGTTACATAAATATAATCAAAAATCAATATCAATATTTCACAGCATATTCCACTTTTTCAAAATTTAGATAAGTATACTTACAAAAAAGGGCTGGATAATAAAAAATAAACCTATAAAAAGTTGACATTATTAGATATAATTTCACAATCTGTCCTTAATCGTTAATTAAATTAACCGTTAATTATTGGAAATAAAAAAATTCTGTTAAGCTGTAGGGTTGCATATTAATTAAATAACTTTATAACTTAAATTTATATTCACTCAAATTTTCACACATCTAAATGTCAACAGAATGAAAATAAGTGTCTAAATGTTAAGGGAAGTACAATGACATTATATAGGTTTAAACCTTTGGTTTAAACACATATACAAAGGACTTCTTTTAATAATCACAAGTTTATGATGCACCAATTCAGAAAAATCTTTCTAGTGTTGTATTGATGATGTATTATGTATGTTACTATCAAAACATTCATAACTATCAAAACATCGTCATTCATAAATATATAATGCATATATTGTCACAATTTTGCCACTCTTGAAGATCCCTCTACACGATTCGTTATTAAAAATTCATTTTTTTGCAATGCGTATTACCCTTGTTTTATGTAACAAACGTATGTGTTACAAACAAAACAGTCGTTGTATTTAACCGTTGTTGCCCCAAAATATTATCCCATAGCTCATGACTGACTCCCATCTATATACTTGATTATTCCAAATAGTTTTCATTTTTCTTTATATATTGGTATATACCGGGTGCGTCTCAAAAGTAGCTCATCTATAACTCTTTATTTTTCGATAAAATTGAGATATATATATATATATATATATATATATATATATATATATATATATATATATATATATGGGCTTCCGGGTCAGAACGTCCTACGACGTAGTTCGATGCCCAACTTCCACCCTGTGCGATTTTCCCATCGATCTTCGGTCAGATTTTTTCTGGCTCATCGACCTCTTTATTCCTTCCATCCATGTTTTCTTTTGGGACGTTCTCTCTTTCGTTTACCAAGGTGGTATCCAATGAATGACTTGTTTTGGAATTCTTTCATTGTGCATTCTCTGAACGTGGCCGTACCATATTAATTGTTTTTGTTCTATATTATTTACTATTGTTCCCTCTCTATTCCCATCTGTTATCTAATGTCTTCATTTCTGATCTTATCCTCTCCTTGAAATTCTCATTGCTTTCTCTAATCGCGTCCATTTCTGTTGTCTCTGATTTCCTTTTATTCCTTTCAGTGAGTCGCCATGTTTCACATCCATAGAGTAATATGCTTTTAACTAGTGTCTCGTATATATTATATTTCCTGTTTTTGTAATTTCAGTGCTCCATAGAATGCTATTTATGCATCTGATAACTCTTCGTGCCTGTATTACTCTGTTGTTTATTTCATCGTCCGTTCCATCTCCTGTAAATATCGAGATCCCAGGTACCTGTAATCTTCACATGCCCTAATTTCCATATTATTGTCTAAAAATAAGATTTTCTGTATTAGCTCCAATTGAAGGTATTTTGTTTTTTTCTGTATTTACTGTAGAGACCCCATTTAGCCTATTCTTCAATTATTTTCCGCACCCTATATATTCCATGTCATCTTTGTCGTTTGCAATTATGGCCTGGTCGTCTGCAAATTGCAAGGTGTATAGGCATATGTCATTTAGTTCTATACCCATTCCGTTACATTTTCTTTTCCATAGATGTAAGGCCTTGGCAATATAAATTTTAAATAGTGTTGGGGATATACAGCAACCCTGTCGGAGCCCTTTAGTGATACAAATTTCCTCTGAGAGACCGTTGACTGTTTTTATTTGTGATTTTCCTCCATGGTAAAGATTCTGTACAGCTTTTATCAGAGCTGCGTTAATTAATTCTTGATTCGTGCAATACTTCCCATAATTTTATTATTGGTACTGTATCATATGCTTTTTGTAGATCGATGAATGTTACAGGAAGCTCATATAACATTCATCGATCTACAAAATCGAGATTTGGTATGTTAATATATGACTTAAATTAGGACTGATTGACGCGTTCAATTGTTTTCGATCACTTTCTGTTTCACCGGAAATGACTACACTACAACTTTTGCTTTTTAAATGACACCCTCGATATTTTGTTACTTTATTCGATAGAAGATGTATACTCTGAATAGAATGACATAATGACATATCATATGTCAACTTTTGATATTTTCGAATTTGGTTTATTTGAAATTGCAATATGCGATTCATAGCGACAATTTGACTCGAAATAGCAAGTGTGTGGTATCGAATTATTCGTAAAAAAATGCTTTTTCCAAATATGCTAATGAGCCACACTCGTTCTATTTGAAAAAATTGAGATATGATTAAAAATACGATTTGGGCATCTTTTAATCGGCTAGGACAATACACTAAAAATATTAGACGATCAAATCTATTTTTACTCCAGATTGAAATTTAAAATATAATTTTATTTTAAGCCAAAATGTCAAAAGTTGATATATAATATATGTCAATCTATTCAGAGTGTCATTTTCTATTGAATAAACTACAAAAATACCTAGGGTGCCATTTACAAATCAAAAGTTGTAGTCATTTCCAGTGAAACAGGAAGTGGCCAAAAAGAATTAAGTACGTCAATCAATCCTAATTTGTCATATACTAACATACCAAATCTCCTTAATTTGAACAAATAAAAAGTTATAGGGGTGAGCCACTTTTGAGACGCACCCGGTATATTATATCTATATATTATTGATATTTAAGGGTAGTACTCCAGAAACACTCCTATAAGGGTTTTCTCGTATTTTTTTTAATTTTAGTTAAAAATCTTAATACACACATCGGAAAAATCTAGGGATATCATTTTATTAAAGTTTAAAATAAATGTTTTGAATAAACAACCACATATTTGTAGGCCGATTCTTTCTACTTGGATTGAAACGAAGTAGTCACACTAGTTATTTCTAAATTTGGGATATTTGCAGAAGTGTTTGTGCATTTTTTGTCAAATGTATAAAAAGCACCTAGCATCAATTGTTCGAATTTAACCTGTACTGGCTATGTTTTTATGATAACTGGCCAGAATTCATTCAAATAACTCTGTTTAGTATTAAACGACATTATGGAGCGTAGACATCTTAACAGAGACGAAATGCTAAGGGGCCATGGGTATGCTCGAAGCTGAATGCGCCAAATCGACGTAGCTAGAGCATTAAATACAACGCAAAGTGTAATATCGCGATTAAGTGCACGCTACCGTGAAAGTGGTGATGTTGCTGAAAGGCACACAGGGCGACATCGCATTACTACCCCTCAACAAGATCATTTTTTACAATTAAATGCTCGACGCCGACCGACTCATACAGCACCAGAGCTTAGTTTAATTCTCCAGGAAACACATAATGTAACCGTTACGCCCCTGGAGAGCTCAACCCTTAACAAGAAGAAATCGAGAGGTACGATATTTGTGGGCTCAAGATCATGTTCAGTGGTCGAATGAACAATGGGCCAATGTTCTCTTCACGGATGAGTCACGCTTTGGAATTCATCCAGATTCGAGTAGGCTTAGGGTATGGAGAGAACCGGGAAATCTTATTCGGTTGGATCATGTTCAGGAAGTGCAGCCTTATCAAGGTGGAACAGTTATGGTCTGGGGAGGAGTCCAGAGTCCAGTTAGGCCGAAAAACCGATCTCGTTTTTCTTGAAAGGTTTCTAACAAGAATCACATATCGTGATTTAGTTCTGGAGCCTGTCGTGTTACCATATGCCAATGATTTTGGGAGAAACTTCATTCTCATGCATGACAATGCACGGCCTCATACAGCCAGAGTGGTAAGTGAGTTTATAAATGCTCATCAATTAAACATCTTACCCTGGCCGGCACAATCTCCTGACCTCAACCCCATCGAGCACGTATGGGACGCGGTCCAAAGAAGAATTTTGAGAATGGGTATGCTTCGTGAAACTCGTAGGGATCTGGTTCGGGCCGTGAATGCAGCGTGGCAGGCTGTATCTCAAGAAGAGATCGACAACCTGATCAGGAGCATGGAGAGACGATGTAGGGCTGTAATGAACAGTAGAGGAGGCCATATCCTTTATTAAGTAAAAATGATTTTATCTTTTTTCCTTTTAATTCACAGTTTTGAATTAAAAAAAAATGTGTGTATTTTTTTGAATTCAATAAAAATCAAGGTAAATTTGAAAAATTCGGTAAATTTCGCATTTTTATTTCCAATACTATTTAAACTGTATTGTATATAAACTATTTATTTATTTTAATTTTATTATATTAGAAATGCAAATAATAAAATTACTGACGATGGCTGGATAAAATTGTAATATCCCTAGACTTTTCCGGTGTGTGTATATTGATAATATGGCAACATAGATATTAGATTAAATTTATTAAAAGAAAATCCAGGGAAGACTCAGTGGTTCTCAAAATTTAAGCAAACTTACAAAACTTCAATATCACAGATTATAATTGACCGAAATAAAAATTCTTCGAAATGGCGATTTTTGGTAAAAACCGGTAAAAACCAAACGAAACCAAACTAAAAACATATTAAAAAAATATTACTTTTTTCGGAAAACTTTCTGGTTCGGTGAAATGTTCTTAGGGGAATTATCTTTCGGACAATTTTTCCCATTAGGGCAAACTTAGTGTCAGTGATTTGCTTTCGGTCAATTTTCCTTCGACAATTTGTTTTCGGGTAAACCAAAAATTTTTTTTAAATATTAGATCAGTGTTTCATGATCAAGCGAATTTAATGCCTTGTTAACAGAGAATTAATGAGATAAATCTTATATCGGTAAAAACATATTCATATAAAGAAATATTTCAACTCATTAGAAATTATTACAGTTATTAAAAATCCTGGTGCCCGGTGGCGTAGAGGTACAACTCTCGTGTACCAATCCAAAGGTTGTGAAAAATAAAAATAGTTTGGGTACCTAGGTCGACTCAGACTTAAATGAATACTTGTGATTCACAATCCTGAGGTAATAATAGGCGGTTGAAGCGTAGTGCTAGCCACATTACCTTCCTTGTATACCGAACGGCCCTAGCATGGCAAGCTGTACCTTGCTACTCCCAAGGCGTTAAACGCTATATATAGGAGCTATTATTATTATTATTATTAAAGATCCTTAAAAAAGCTCTCAGTATTTACAATATAAATTTTTGAACGTTAGGTTCTTTACATCAGCAACATGCCATTTTGATAACATAAATTCACTTTTGGGTGTCTTAAAGATGATTGTATTTCTTTGCAGGTTCCGGCAGTATTTTGCTGCCTGGTAGCAGTAACATACGCCGCTATAGCACCTGGTCAGAATGCCTACTTGCCACCCAAAGAAGGTTACAACTATCCCCGTCCTCCTGGTCCCAGTTTCCCACCACCTAGACAACCAACGCCCCCTATCCAACGACCCTCTCCACCTAGACCAACTTACGGACCTCCCGCACCGGCTCCCACACGTCCTCCACAAGCTACAGTACCTCCACCGTACCGACCTTCTCCTAGTCCGTTTAGACCTTCGGCTCCGGTGACGCCTTTCAAGCCTACACCCGCACCTCCTCAACCTTCAACACCGTCTTATTTACCTCCATCACCACCGAGTCAGCCTCCATATAGACCACCATCGCAAACGCCCCCACCGTATAGACCTCCACCAACGTCACCTCCGTTTAGACCTACCGGACCTCCAGTTACGTCACCACCTTACAGACCTCCGTGTAAGTTTATGTATTAATTTTGATTTTTGTATTTTAACTAAAGCCTGAAATTGACAAGGCGCGCACTAGGCGCATATTTGCAAACAAGAGTAATATTCGGTGGATACAGTAGCTATTTGTCAACACAACGGTTTACTGATGTTTGCCACTGTTCTGAAATGAATCTACGAATATCTGTACAGTGGACCAGTGGACAAACATTTTAAACGGTTATTGGAAAGCAGTATAAAAACAAGCTAGACTAGATTGGAGTTGTAAAACATATTACATTGTTTTACCACTCCAATTTCTATACCTCTGTGGCGGAAGTCTTTTTTAATATATTAATTATTACATAAGAATTGTAATAATTGTTTTTATTTTGTAATTATCGTATTCCTATTTATAAATATAATCCCATCAAAAACATAGAATGTAAAAAATGCCAAGTCTGGCAATACAATTCTTCCATTATAAAAAATTGTGAGATCCCATGTAAAACCAAGTCAGTTTATTTCATTCAGTTTCTTTTTAAGCACCAATTCAACAATTTTATTACAAATTGCTAGTATCAATATCAGACATCTTTATTTCTGTAATAATTATAATGCCTTGACAATTGCACGATATGATATTCTTTGCTAATTAAAAAAACTTTATTCTTGGGGGCATTGTTTAGTTCTACTTACTAATCGAAATGGTAGATTATTATTTTTTAATCATGGAGTTTCATTAGAAAAGTATATGACTAAAATGTATATTTTGAAATACATGCACCGGCACGAAAAATGGGCACCTTAAAGCTTTGATGTATTTTAAAGTTTAATATATTTTGTTCTGGTGGGCCGATTTTGATGATTTTATAAGCAGTGTGTAGCCAAATTATTTGTTTTTTTAGTATCTCTTTCTAAAATAAAAATTAAACTCCCCATCTGTTAATTATACGAGGGAAAACAAAACGTTGATATTTTCGTGAACGTTTGAAACACCGTGTGGAAAATGTTAAAATACTAAGAAATTTAAAAATAATTCATCTAGATATATACTTCCTCGATAGTTTGTTTTTGGTTCATCTCATTAGCTTTATTTTTGTTGGAGATATTCGCTTTTGAAGTATAAGGTAGTTGTATTTGAAGTATAAGGTAGTATTATATTCACAGTTGTAGCGTTTTTTATAAAGATTACCACTGCGAACGACAGCTTTTCATCGGAGAGCAGTCGTGGATAAGGTATTTCACTGGAAAGAAAACAAATTAATGACAATAAACAAAAAAAAATAGATATTGGGCGCCAGGCATATACAGAGAAAGAAAACACAGTTGTTTATTACTTAAAACTAATGACTATATTTATTCATGGTGAATTCTGATGGTAAATAGCATTGTACAATTTTAATAATTATTATAGTGGTTATTTGTTGAGTAAAACTATGTATGTAAATAATATTAAATATGTTATGAAAAGACTATGAAAAAATACAATTCGTGTAACGTTATGTTGCAACCCGTAGATTTTAGAATCTATGTTTGGTTATTCATCTGTTAAAATAGTGCAATAATAATATCTATAAAAGTAATACCATTACAAGACGTAATGCAATGAAACCTAAGATCTAAACTATATTTTAAATATTAAATCGACATGAATGTTCTTAACAATCTAACCACTAAACATAGTCTGTACGATATTACTTAAGATGTACGTTATTGTTTAAGACTGAAAATGTTTTAGATGTTAAATGTAAAACTAGAACTTAAATCTACACTTAGCTGTTCTTTATGTAATCCTGCTTCAAACAGTAACAGCGTGAGGTGGTCTCGCATCTCTGTACTCGGCCATCCAATACAACAAAAGGGGCCAGAATAAGGACACCATGAATTGGAACAGCCGTAACTTATGGATGGGAACGAAGCAGCATGGGGCTCAAGCTACATCCACGCTGGGGCACTTTATATGCAAGAAAAATCATTCCTACTGGGGACACTCGTTCACAGGACATCCGTACATAGGATAATGGTACAAGGGAACACTACCCGTACCTTGGATACTACTAGGACCTTGGATAATGCCCGTACCTTGTAAATAGTCCGTACCTTGGACCCTAAAAATACGAAACTCTTGTTTAAAATCAAACAAGGTCTAACAAACAAAATGAACCTACCTCGAATTACTTCCGAGGGCTCACTAAATAATAAAGAACATGTCCTTTCTTCCATGTGACATTCTGGAGGACAAAAGAAAAGGGACGCCAACGTGCCATAGATAAATGCAACAAGTTTAGATTGGAAAGCCCGTAAAAATTTTAGGTCGCGAAATTATTTTGGGTCGCGACCGTTATACGCGATCTGGCGCTGCTATAGCGGTCGCTAAGAACAACGGCAAACAAAAACAGAAATAATTTTCTCTTGTCAAAGTCAGAATCTTCAAAAATCATAATAATCTTTCAAAATCTTAACCGCTCTCATTAAAGAAATTCCGAAAAGTGTTTATAGCGTCCATTTTCAAAGTAATAATTGCTATCTTGTGAGTTTAATTCAAGTTTTATTTACTCCAACCGGTAATAATTGTGAAAAAGTGGCATTAAAAACTTAAAAAGCTGTGCTCTGAACTGTGAACAGCAAAAACCATCGTGGATCGTGGCATAACGTCGGTTTCCAATGTTTCATAGGTATTTTATACATGCGTCCTTATATAAAATAAAGTTTCTTGTATGCAACACACTGTCTTTTATTTATAAAATTAAACGAAAATAATAATAAATTTGAATAGACAATATTTGGCGATATAATTCCGGAAAAAGCCGAACCGCTCCGAAATTTTCAAAAGTTTTGGGTCGCGACCGTTGCAAGAATAGCGCCAAATAGTGTTTACATTATCCTTATGGGCACTTTCCAATCTAAACTTGTTTCATTTATCTATGCAACGTGCCAGCAAAATACAAATACAAGTTAGGTTGGAACATCCAAAACTCTACCCTAAAAATATGCAGTAATAATATCGAATCTAAAAGGATAATATCTCATCTTTACCTGTTGGTTTGAAATAGCAGCTGATTCAGATTATACAGCAAGATTTAAATAATCACCATTTCTAAAAGCCGGGATGGTTAAGTTAGGCTACAGAGCGCTAAAAGCAAAAGTCAGTCGACAGCACAGAGAGTTGACAGAAGCGATGTTGACAGTGCCTCCACAGAGCGATAACAGGGTTGTGTCAAACGGCAACAGGGTTGTGGACTAGAGAACGTAAAAATTCGTCAAATAAATTATCCGGCCGGAACGATAGGGAATCCGGTGATGATACGCCAGACATCATATATTATATATAAAAAAGACATGTAACGAACTAAAAACGTTACACAGTAAATGAATTCCGAGGTTTGTATCCCATAAGGGCTTAAAGCACTCCACCAACTATAGCATTGAGCAATAAAAAGGATTGGAAGAGAGAAACGTTTGTTCAGCATGTAAAAGACCATACCATAACGTGGTAGATATACTGACGTTTCCAAAACCAAAGCAGGGACAGTGGGAGGAGTATTTGAGCCGTAAACTAAATACTCCACAGGGCACCTACCCCAGCATCTTTCAGGTAGAAATCTACGCTATCGAAGGATGCGTAGAGGTATTAGTCTTAGATAGGAACTATCCAAAACAGGAGATATCCATCTTATCCGATAGTCAAGCAGCACTAAAAGGGATCAACTCAGTCACCATTAATTCGAAGTTGGTTAAAGAATATTTAGAGAGCTGAACAAATAAAAGAGCAAAGATCAAAGGAAATAAAGTCCTCCTACTCTGGATGACCCACCAAGGGATAGAAGGCAATGAAAAAGCAAATGATCTGGCCAGAAAGGGAACGAACACTCTACTAACTGGATCAGAACCGTTCCCCTGCTTTCCAAGTTAAAACTCTTCACTCACATCCAACATAGTTACAGTAAGAATATTACATTACAATAGACCATCATAGATCAAATGAAGACTATTACTAATAAATCTCTTTGATGAAACAAAAATATTGGTAGTGGCGTTGCAATATACAAAAAATGCTCTTCTTACTTACTCAATCAAGTGCTATTGACTTCGACGAAACAAGTTGAAGGTTATTTCAGTAGTAGTTTTAATCTTAAAGATGATATACAAAATATCATTCTGCCCGAACGAACCATAATAAATCGTGATTTAATTGATAATATTTACTTAGAAAATTGCTGAATAATGATAGTACACGCAAATACACGAATTCTATCTTCTTGAACGGATTATGAAAGGTTAAGGTCGTAATGTTTAAAAACGTGATGATCTGCTGTAATTATTGTTATTACAGATAGCCGCCCATTTGTTTCAGGTGATAATTTTAAAGAGCACTGTAAAAAAGTCGTGTAAAAAGCGTGAACTCTTTGCATGATCTTTTGTTACAAAGGGTGAATGAAAATTAATGTGCAAATTCCTGCCATTAAAAGGTTAATAAAATATGTCCAATGGAGATTACAATTTGTAGAGTGTGTTTGTATTGATAGAGAGATAAATCTACAAGGTATTGTTTATATTACAGGTGAATAGAAAGTGTTTATACAGGGTATCCCAGAAATAAGTGCAAGTATTTTAACTGTTAATGCAATTCGAATCCCAGAAACAAGCCAGTAACTTTTTTTTGCGAAAAAAAAATGTTGAAAATTTTATATTTTTCTTGACATTGGTTCGAGGGAATGCAATGTTGCCACTTCCTACGCTATCTACATTCTGTAAGTTATAAGCTGACATTTTTAAATTTCGACAAAAAAGACTTAAAAATCATGGCAGATTTTTTAATCATTGTCTATTAGGTATAGTGCAACGACCTCTATTATTTTAAACACTTTCTTTACAGTTTAACAAACTGAAATAATGAAACTCTAAATAATGGACAACTTTAGCAGCTTTTTTGCCATATTACGAAACATTTTCAATCGTTTCCCTCAACAATTACTATACGAATATATAAAATCGTTAAGTGACTGACTCACTGATTAATCACGATCC